CCTTCCATATGCCCCCCAGTCCTATCCACCCTTTATACCTCCCCCTGGGGCTTCCCCCCTCCACACACCCTCTGGGGCTGCCCTCCTCCCCCCGTGGCCTGGGTCTCGGGGTCCCATGCAAGCCCTCACTCTTCGGCTGTCCCCGCAGAGCCCCTGGAACATCATGATCAAACACCGGCAGGTGCAGCGGCGCGGGCGGCGCTCGCAGATGACCACCAGGTAAGCGCGGCCCCCCCCACGGTCCCCGTTGAGCCCAGGCCATACCCCCACGGCAGAGGAAGTCCAGCCCCTGGTGCGGACCAGGCTGAGCAGGGGGAATCCCTTCCTGCCCCCTGGGTTTGGCGCGAGGGCAAGACCCTCCAGCCTGGCCCCTGCAGGGTTGGTGCCACCCGGTTCCACCTAAAGACTGAGGCTCAGCCTGCGGCCAGGTTGGCGCTGTCGGGCTCCTGGCTCGCTCCTGCTGGAAGGGGAGCATCCTGTTGCTGTCCCCAGCCTCTAGCACAAGGGTACACAACGTTTTTGGGCCTCATTTCCAAAACACCTGCAACCTCGACTCGTGAAATGTTGGCGGGCCGGGGCAGATGGCATGGGAGCTGCGAGGGTACGATCCTTGTTGTAGCAGCACGGACCTGGCCCTTTCCCCGCCCTCCGCCCAGAGGCACACATGCCAAGCAAAATGCCTTTCTGTGCCATACTCTGGCACCCATACCAGGGGTTCACTGTCCCTGCTCCAGCCCCTCGGGCATTGCTGACGGGTTGAGAAGGGAGCTGTATAGATCCCTTCTCTTAGCGGGCCAGGGTTTCGGAGCTGCTGGTAGCTCAGGTGCTGGGACAGAGAAGTAACAGGCTGGCAGCCTGGAGACTTGTTAGGTGTAGAGACCTGTATGTTCTCATCAGAAACCGTGGGACTAGAAGGCATTTGGGTGCCCTAGCATGCTAGAGAAGAGATGGGGAAAGGGGGGTCAGCATGGCAAAGCTTTCTGGTAGAGCTTCCCATGCATTCAGCTTCACAGATCCTATGGTCTCCATGGACTTGCTGCGAGCTGTTCTGCAACCGAGCATCAATGAGGAGATCCAGAACGTCTTCAACAAGTACATGAAGGTAAAAGCTCTTGAGGAGAGAAGGGCTTCCTCTGCCTCCAGCCTGTGAGGTTATGCCCTGTTCCTGTGAGGCCCCAGCCTGTGGCCACGTGTTGCTCTGTCCACGCCCAAAGGGCAGATGCCCCTCCTGCCCCCTTCCAGAGGATTTAGACACACATGGAGGGCATTTAACAGGAGCTCTGTTTGAGGTGAGGGAGGCTGATTCCTGGAAGGGAACAGAACCGCCCCCTCCTTGGAGCATCCAGCAGAGCCCCAGTCCCAGGATGCAGGGCTGACCTGACCACAGGTGGTTGCAAGGCTGCTGGCTTCTGACTGTGCCTACCTGTGAGCTTGTGCTGAGGGCAGAGGCCTGTGCAAGGAGACTGCTGGGGAGAGGGGTAATGTAACCAGCATTGCTCTCACCCTCCCGGGGGGTCCTTCTCCAGTTCTTCCAGAAAGCAGCGAGCAATGTGCGAGAGAACGTGGGGGAGGAAGTGGACTCAGAGCAGCTGATCCAGGAGACATGTCGGAACTGCCTGGAACAGGTAGGCATATACCGTTGCAGTAGGCCGCAGGGTCCCAGCCCCTGAATCACCAGGGAAGAGCTGGGTGAAGGTAACAACTGCTTGACCCTTTAGTCCCTGGAGGACACAGCAGTATGAGCCAGGCCCCCCAGCTTCACTGTGTGAGATGTCCTCCATGCCAACATGCGTGTGTATCCGTGTGAAGTAGTCACCACTTGTGTGGATTGGCCAGTGGGGGCACTTTGGAGCTGCAAGCACTTCTCTCCAGCACCTGCTGTATGGTGACTTAAGCTAGGGAAGGAGGGGAGCCAGGGCTGTGCAGCCTGTGCGAGCTGCTTTTCTGGCTCTGCCTGGGCCAGCCTGACACACAGCAATGCACAGGGAGCCTCAGCAGAGCTTCCATCCCTATGATGATCTGGGCCCAGCCATGACACGCCTAGCGGTGCACTGGCTGCATCTGGCCAGGTGGCTGTGACCTCTCCTTTCGGGGCACTGATCCTGTACTACCCTCTGCTCCCAGATCAGACTAGTGCAACACAATTCAAGTGGCTTTGCACTTGGGATGGAGGCTCAGACAAGCAGGTGCAAATTGGAGGCTCGTGTTTTGCAGAGAAAGGGACACTCCTGGGGTTCTGGTGCCTAGATTGCCTGCCCACTTGTCTGCAGGGGGAGCTGACAGAGGTGGTCATGACCTGTGTGGCCCCTCCTGGCCTGTGACAGCTCTCTGTGCCAAGCAGCCATCCCAGTGGCCAGCAGGGGCATGAAGGCTGAATCCCCTTGTTGAAAGGGGAAGGGCTGCTGGCTGGGCCATCTCTGTGGCCACTGCAGAGTACTGGAGCTTCCTTTCCCTCCTTCATGGCCTGGAATTAGCCTGGATATGGGGACCACATGGGCACGTTACAAAAGCCCTCCTGGCAGGGTTCTGGAGCGGGCGCTATGTTCCCCAGAAAGGGGAAGTGGTGGGCAGGAGCCCTCTGTGTGGGAGGCCAGCCAGCCGAGTTCCCATCCGAAAGAGGATTTGGAGGCTACAGGGCAGGGGTGAGTGTGGTTACGTGTGAGGAACTTGGGAGCCTTGGGGAGGGGGCTTGTTTACTGTGGGACCTGAAATGCAGAGCTGTGAGCTGGCTTTTGGTTCTCTGAGAGAGGAAGTAACCCTTGCAGGGTCAGCTTTGCCTTCCCCCTGCGAGAACCCGTGCCCTGGGCAGCCCATTCTGGCCTGTTCTGTCAGAACCCTCCCTGCCCTGAAAAACCTACTTGTGTAAGGGAGGTGATTGGGCCCTGGGGTCAGAACCTGGATGGGCAGCATTTGTTACTTCAGGGATCAATGCCAGAGGCAGTTCCGAGCGAATCCCAGCAGTGACTGCAGCCTGTGCGGAGAGAATCTGTTCTACCTCCAGCCCTGTGCCCCCTTTTACCTCCGTCTGGGGGCCTGGAAGCACAGCAGCCTCCAGTGGTGCCCATAACCCTTCCCTCTCTCCCCTAGGCCAAGCTGCTGTTTTCTGATGGCAAGAAGGTGATCCCCAGGCTGGCCCACGAGCAGCCGGTGCCCAAGGTAGACCCTTCTGTTCATCCCAAAAGGCTGAGCTTCTTTGGGTATCTGAGGCAGGACTGCTGCTGACCGGACTTCTCGGGACTGTCCAGCAGGAGCTAGGCAAGGCCTGTGGCCATTCTTACACGCTCCTTTTGATGACTGAGGGAGACCCTGGGGTGTGGCAGTACAGGGGTGTCCCGGGCAGTGTGTCCTAGTCCTGCCACACAAGTGCAGGGGAAAGGGTGGCATCCCTGGGCTCTGTCTGCTCCACTGTTGTGCCAATGAGGTGGGGAGGCGGGTGGAAAGAGGGGGACGGGGAGGAGAGGACTTGCGCATAGCAGCAGGCCCCAGGCCTGGTCATGGATTTGGGCAATCAGCATCCCATGTGCCTGTGTGGGGCAGCATCCAGATTTCTCCCTCCAAGTTTAGTGTGGCTGGCGGGGGGCTGGGGCTGGCATTAAGGACTGTGTTTACCCATTGCTCACTTCTTTGCCAGCGTGCTCGGCAGGTAGAGGAGGAGTCCAGTCAGCGAGGAAGCCCCATTCCCAAGAAGGTAAGAGGATTCCCCAGCAGTCCTGGCTCCATTGCCCGTATTCCCAGAGAGCCACTGAACTGCACATGGCTAAAGCAGCCTGCCTGGCAGGGAGTGCACACACCCAGGTGCACGATGGAGAGCTTCTCTCTTCCAGAGGAAGGGGCGGCCTCCTGGACAGAGTCTGTTGAACGACCGTGGGGCCTCGGGCATGGCTACGTAAGTATAGGGCTCAGTTAGGAGTGGAGAGCAGAGGCTGCCTGGGCACCCAAGGGCAGGGAGAGGCATGAGCAGTCAGCTCACACTCATCTGGTGTCCCTTGCCCAAGTGGCAGCTGGGAGAGCGTTCCCAGCCAAAGCAGCTTGTCCCCCAAGGCAGTCCCTAGGGTTCTGTCCCACACAGGCTGCTTCAGCTGATCCCTCTGGGAACTCATCCCTGCTCTGGCTTTTCCTCTGCAGGTGGAAGCTCAAATCCTCGGAGCTGCTGCGGCGCGACGGGCCAAAGGTGGGGCAATGGTGTTTGGTGAAGTCTCGCTGCCTCTCCCGCTCTCAGCAGATGAGGCTGGAGTGATGTCCCTCCAATGTGTGGCTTGTTCTAGGCCGTGCTTTGCCCTGCTCTGCCCCTCAGTGCATGAGGCAGGGGAAGCCCTTGCCTGCCACCTGCCTACCCCAGAGCCTCTGCCTGCTCCCTGGCACAGCCCTGTGGCTCAGATGACATGGAAGCCTCCTGGCTGGGTGTACTGGACTCCAGGGCAACTTGCTGTGCCTGGGAGGTCTGAAAAGCTCCACTGCCTGCTTCACCAGCCAAACAGGAGACTTGTTTCCTCCTCCATGGAAACCTGAGCCTGCAGCGAGCTGTCCCCCTAGAGCAGGGGCCCACTGCAGACATGGGGGAAGGGGGTGAGAGGTTGCAGGGGGGCTGATCTATGCCTGTTCAGACTCTGTCTCCCCTTTCCCTGTGGCTCTGCAGTGGGATCCTTCCCGGCTGACTGAGACCACAACTTTTGTGCTGGGATCTCGAGCAAACAAGTAAGGAACTGTCTCTGGGGCAGCAGCAGGGCAGTGCTGCCCTTGGGGGTGGGAGCCTGCGGGAATCCTCTTGCCAGGTAAATTCCTCTGAATGGAGGAGAGAGTGTGGGCTCAGGGCGGGGGGAGCCTGCGGGCACCCTCTGCACAGGCCTAACCCTGCTGCTCGTTTCTCTTTCAGAGCTCTGGGGATGGGAGGAACCAGAGGGCGGCTCTACATCAAACACCCGCACCTCTTCAAGGTCAGGAACCACAGCGCCTTGCTTCCTTTGGGGCCTGCGCAGGGCTCTTGCAAGGGGGTGGGGAACACATATGCTCTGCCTCTCCCATGCCTAAGGTGTATGCCATTGTGGGGAACATGTTCCTCAGGGCAGGGGCTCCAGCAGGTAGTGGGTACTGCCGCAATGCAGGTAAATACTGCTGGACTGCCGTCCCTGCTGGGGCAGTGACTTCACCTGGAGCCAAAGGAAGGATGGGGCCGTGTCCACGTGCTGGGAGACCCTTCCTGGGACCCCTGGTGTAAGGGGAGGCATCACCCCTGATGGTGGCTGCACGCAAGGCAGCCACCAGCACTCAGCTCAGACCTGTGCTCTGTTACAGTACGCGGCCGACCCTGAGGACAAGCACTGGCTGGCAGAGCATCAGCACATGAGGGCTACCGGGGGCAAGATGGTGAGTTCAGCCAGCCCAGCTCCTGCCGCCTGCGGCCTCTGAGGAGGAAGAGAGACTAGACAGGCAGAGAGCAAAGGATCCTGCCATGAGTCAGGCTGGGCTGTGGCCCCTTCAAAGCAGCGCCTAACAGGGCAGGAACTGTGCCCAGACCCTTGGGGCTGGCCAGGGGCAGCTACTGCCCCCGCCTGGGACTTCCCTGAGGGTGGGTGCGAGTGCCAGTGAGGTGGGTCCGTGCAATGCAGAATCCCTGCCCACAGCAGGCCTGGCTGTGCATGAAGCCTGGAGCCCCGGTTCCTGCTGCAGCTCACGGGGAGGCCAGAGCAGCCACGTGAGAGTAGAACCGCTCCTAACCCCCCTGTCTTCCACTTGCCCCACAGGCCTATCTCCTGCTGGAGGAGGATATTCGGGACCTGGCTGCCAGCGGTGATTACAGGTGAGGCACAAGCTGTGGCTTCTCGTGACCGGGAAGCTCCTTCCCTTCCTTTTTATTTATTCTTTTAGACCCGGCGGGGGCACTGCCAGGCCCAGGGGTGCCCAGAGCAAGTCCAGGAACACAGAGGGTTCCCCGACCTGCCCTATTGCTCAGCCTCCCGGGGCCGGGTGGCAGGTGCTTGGCGCTCGTGGGGACTGCTCGCTGCGCGCCCAAGCCAGGTGGGGGCAGCGGGGTCTCGTCTCTGCCCCTGGCCCTGAGGGCTCACGCCAGGCTTTCCCTTAGGGGCTCGGTGGAGCTGAAGCTGGAGGAGCTGAAACCGTTCATCCCCCCGGCCTGGATGACGGAGAAGATGCAGAAGCACATGGAGACGCTGCGCAACGAGGGCGACACACCCGCGGACGAGCCCCACGAGGCCTGAGCAGCCGCGCTGGCACCCATGGACTCACTGCTTCCCGCTGCCCCGAGCCCTGGCAGAGCCTGCGCCCCGCGCCAGGGGCAAATTGCAATAAAGGCTGGAACTGCTGCACCCGCGCGCGGCGTCTGCAGGGGAGGGAGGGACCGCGCCGTCCGGGCCCGCTGGCTCTTTAAGAGCGCACCCCCCAGCCCACCCCACGAGCCGGAAGCCCGTCGTCACCGCCGGGCGGCCAATGGCGAACCCCTGATGTGTCCCCTGCTGCCGCGAGGCGCGATTGGCCGGCTCGAGCCGCCGGCGCCGCAGATTGGCCGGCGCCCGCCGGTTGGATCCATTCAAACGCGGCGCGGGCGCGAGCGACGGCGGCCGGCAGCGCTCAGTCCGCCATGGCTTCGCAGAACGCTGACCCCGCCGCGCCGCCCGTCCGCAAGGGTCCCGAGCCCGGCCCCGGCCCCGCCCGCGGATCCGTCGGCAAGAGGTGGGGGGGTCCCAGGGGGCGGGGCGTGGAGGGGGCGTCCCGCGGGGCGTGGGGGGGTCCGGCCCGTCTGACCTTGCCCCCCCCGCAGGCTGCAGCACGAGCTCATGACGCTGATGGTGAGTGGGGGCAGGGCGGAGCGGGGCGGGGGGCGTCCTGGGCTGACCCCGGCCCCCTGACCCCGACCCTTGCCCCCTGACCTGGCCCTGTGCCCAGATGTCGGGGGACAAGGGTATCTCGGCCTTCCCCGAGTCCGACAACCTGTTCAAGTGGATCGGCACCATCGATGGCGGGGCCGGCACGGTGAGCTGGGGTGGGGGGCTGCCCTGACCTGACCCCGACCCCGCGCCCGACCCCTGACCCTGACCCCGACCCCGTGCTGTGCGGGTGCCGCAGGCCTACGAGGGGCTGCGCTACAAGCTGTCCCTGGAGTTCCCCAGCGGCTACCCCTACAACGCGCCGGCCGTGCGGTTCCTGACGCCCTGCTACCACCCCAATGTGGACGCGCAGGGCAACATCTGCCTGGACATCCTCAAGGACAAGTGGTCGGCGCTGTACGACGTGCGCACCATCCTGCTCTCCATCCAGAGCCTGCTGGCAGGTGAGGCCGGCCCCGGCGGTAGCCCCCCCGGGGGGTGGGGGCACCGGGGCATCCCCACTGACCTGCCTGTCCCGCCAGAGCCCAACGTGGACAGCCCCCTGAACACGCATGCGGCCGAGCTCTGGAAGAACCAAGCAGGTGAGTGTCCCCTGGGCACAGGGTGGGACCCCCTGCCGCCCGCACCTCCCAACCACCCGCTCTCCTACAGCCTTCCAGAAACACCTGCGGGAAGCATACACCAAGCAGGCGAAGAGCCAGGAGACCTGACGCCCGCCCGCCCGTCCCTGTGTGTGTCTGGGTTTGTCCCCTGTATCATAGGCTGTCGTTAAGTTAATTCTGTCGTCGTGCCCACGGTTAACATATAAATAAACACACGTGTTTTTTATTGCTGCTTTCTGCCCGCTCCTGCTTCTCGGTCCAGGTCCATTGCCTCGGGCCCCAGGCTGAAACCGAGCCGGCAGCAGCCTGGCCTGCTCCAGCCCCTGGGGAGGGTCCGGGCCAGGGGATTTCAGGGCAGGTTAACCCACCTGGCTGGCACCAGGACACCCCGTGGCAGCTGGTTCCAATGCACCAAACACAGGAGGTAGGACAGAGGCATTTATTGCTCCCTGGGCCTGCCCCGCACCAGGACCCCCACCCCCTCTGCTGAGCCCCAACCCCTCCCCTCCTGGGGGGCACCAGAGTCCCACTCCCTGCACCTGGTCATGAGATGGTGCAGCAGTGGCTGGGCGCCTCCGTCCCGCCTGGGATCTCTCTGCCCGGCATCTCGCTGCCTGTCCCCTCTGCTTCACCAGTGGAGCCACACTCAGCCCAGGCCGCCTCTGTGGCCTCCACAGTCCAGACAGGGATGTTGAGGCTGGTCTCCATCTCCGTCAGCATGACCCCCACCTGCGCCATGCGCTCCTCCAGGCTGGGGCCTGCACCCGCCTGTTCTGTGCCCCGGCTCCTGCCACCCTTGCGGCTCACCCGCCGCCAGCTCCACACGGCCCCAGCGCCGCCCCGGCCAGCAACGCCTGTGCGGAGTGGCTGTGGCCAGTGGCCCTGCAGGGGGAAGAGCTGGCTGAGGTGGTGGGCTCTGCACAGGTCCTGCTGGAAGAGCTCCAGTGCTGACAGCAGCTGCACCCACAGGCGCTCGAGCTCCAGCTGCTCCTCGGGGCCAGGCACGGGCCGCAGCCCAGCCTCCAGCTGCTGCCGCAAGCCTGCGGGACCAAGGAGATGCCGGTGTTGGTCCCACGGCGCTTGCCAGGGCGGCGCTCCCCCAGGAGACAACTGGGGGTGGCCCTGGCTGGCTACTTGGGGCCCGGGTCACCCAGGCCTGGCCAGTGCTGCTCCCTGCAGGAGCCTACAGGGCTGAAGGGGTCCTGACTGCCAGCCCAAGCGGTGCCCTGGGGTGCAACATCCCCTCCACTCTCCTCCAGGGTGTGGAGGGGAGCAGGACTGTGGTGAGGTTCATTGTGGGGTGGGGGGGAATAGTTCTATGCTGGGCCCTTCACCCCCTGCTCCACTCCTGCCTGTGCTGCACCTAGCACGGTATGGGGTACCCACCAGGCCCTGGGGGCCCCTTACCCATGCCGAGCTCCTGGGCCTCCTTGCCCCTCTCCTGCAGCTCCTTCCTCAGCTGAGTGCAGTCGGCTGCGCTGCCCAGGAGCAGCGCTAGCTGCCGGTGCCTGGCGGTGACCCTGCCCAGGGCAGCATGGGCAGCCGCGCATTCCCCCATGGGCACCTGCGAGGCCATGGTGGTCCCCTGGCGGGTGCACAGCTTGGCCTCACCAACCTCAGAGCCGCTCCCTCAGTCTCTGTGACCACTCTGCCTGTGTGGGACAGCAGATTGCTGGGGGAGGGCACTGGGGTCCCGGGAGAGGGGGCATGTCGGGGCAGCGAGGCAGGGCACAGCTGCGCTCCTGCTTTTCCTCGTTAGCGTTAACCCCCCAGGCCCTGAGCAGAGGTGGCGCCAGGCTCTGGCTGCTTGCCTCTGCCGGCAGGGAGGGGACATGGGGCCCCAGGTGCTACCAGGCTCCCAGTTCCCACGGCCACGCTCAGAGCTTGGGTGCCCCGGCCAGCACTTGGGTCCCTTCCCGAGCGGAGCCGAGACCCTTCCAGACCCCCGGGCAGGCTCCCCGGGGGCTCTGACTTGAGAACAGCCTGGCCTGCGTGCCCCCCGGCCTGGCTCCCACCAGCCCCTTGTGCCGCAGGCTCCAGGGTGGAGGCTGCCCTGCATGAGGGAGGGAGGCTCTGCCGCCCCGTGCTAACGAGCACTGTCTCCATGGAAAATCTGAGCTCACTGCTGGCCCGGGCTCTGGCAGCCATGGGTAGGAACATGGCCCTCGGCCCCAGGCCTGCACGCAGCCTTGGCCCTGCTGCCGGCGCATCCTTGTGTCCCCAAGGGCAGGGCCTGGCCCGGGCTGGCTGCACGGCTCCCAGGCTCAGCTCCAGGGCTCAGGCCCCCTGAGCAGCCAGGCCGGCTCCAGGGCTGGGGTGGGGGTCCTGGGGCATAGCTGTGTTGCCCGGCCCCCAGACTTCCACCCTGCTGCTTCTCTGCAGACCCCCACGAGGAGCTGAGGCTGGCATGGACCAGAGCGCACCAGCCCCACCTGCCCCAACACACGCCCACACATGCCAGGTCAGACCCCCGGTCCCGGCCAGTGCAAACCTTCTGCCCATTTAATGAGGCTCAAATATAAACAGCACTTTACAGACTAGCGGCAAGGGGTGAGTGGGTGGTGGGAGGGGAGCCAGTCTCGGGCTGTGGCCCCGCGGGAGCCGTGGCACTGTACGGAGCAAGCTGGAGCATACGGAGTCCAGGGGGGTCCGGGAGGGCCAGGCGCAGGGATGAGAGGCTGCTTCCAGGCAGGGCTGAGCGTCGCTGGCAGGATGGAGCAGGGCTGGAAGCGCTGGCCTGGCTTGGAGGAATGTCTGGTCCTTTACTGCACACCTTCCATCATCTTCAGGAACTCTGCAACCCACCAGCCACCATCAGTGCTGGCCCAGGGGGCTGCGTCGCACTGGCTTGCGACATACACAGGGGACCCACGCCCCCCTCCCCGCAGTGCATGCGCGCAGGCTGCAGGGCTGCGCACTGCGTTGGTGCAATGCACTGCTCCCCATGGGTGGGTGGAGGTGCCGGCTGGGGCCCCGGGGGCTGGGTGGCAGCAGCCAGGAGTGGGGCCCCTGCGGGCTGGGAGCGACGCACGAGGGCTGCACTCACCATCGAAGTCGATGCGTCCGTCATTGTTCTTGTCCCCGTCTTTCATGAGCTCCTCAATCTCGTCCTCGGTCACGTGCTCCCCGGAGGCCCGGAAGATCTCGGTCAGCTCCTCTGCATCGATGTAGCCATCCGCGTTCCTGGGGGCAGAGGCCAGAGTTGGGGCGGGGCAGGGCAGGGGGGGGCCTTGGCACAGACGAGGGGCTGAAGGGGGCAGGGGCCGTCTGGGCCAGGGGTGCGGGCACCAGCCCAGTGCAGCTGGGCAAGGGTGGAGGCCAGGACAGCACTCGGGGAGCCAGAGGGATGCACGCTTGTGCCGTGAGCTGGGGCACTGGTGCCACGAAGGCCCTGGGCACAGTGCCAGCAGCAGGGCATTTCCGTGGGATGTGGCAGGGCTCAGCTGGGGGACACAGGTGAGCATGGCCTGGCCATGGTGGCTGCCCCCCACTCACTTGTCGAAGATGCGGAAGCACTCGGCCAGCTCCTCTTCAGACTTGCCCTTGGCATCCTCTTTCATCTGGCGCACCATCATGACCAAGAACTCCTCGAAGTCGATGGTGCCGCTGCCTGCGGGGGGAACCCGTGCACACGGTCAGAAGCTGCCTGCGCCCGGTCAGGAGCTGCCTGCGCCCCCGCCAAGACCGGGAAGGCTCTGCTCACCATCCTCATCCACCTCCTCTATGATGGCATCCAGCTCCTCCTTGGTGGGGTTCTGCCCCAGCATCCTCATCACAGTGCCCAGCTCCTTGGTGCTGATGTCACCGCCGCCATCCGCGTCGAACATGTCGAAGGCGGCCTTGAACTCTGTGGGGTAAGGGGGGTCAGCGGGGCAGCAGGGAGCTTGCATGGCCCCACCGGCCTGCAGGTCGCCCCCCCCTAACCTGGGGGCAATGGCTCCAGCAGCCTCTGCCCTGCCTGCCTGTGCGCACAGCCACCTCCACCCTGCAGCTGCTTGGCTCTGGCTCCCTGATGCCCTGGGATGTGGGGCCAGGCAGGGAGAAGCCCCGGTGCCTCTCCAGGCTCGGGAACAGGTCACTGCAGCAGGGTGGGACGTGCCGCCCCCCTCCCAGGAGTAGCCAGTGCCTGGCAGAGCCGCGGACACGGAGCAGATCTGCCGCCACGCCCCATCCTCCCCACTCCAGCAGCCTCGGCGTGGACTGGTGACACTCACCCGCGATCATTTCCTCGCTGAGGAAGGCCCGGGCCTCTGCCTGCTGGTCAGTCTGCAAGGCGAGCGCACAGCCGTGTCACCCGCAGCCCCTGCTGCGGCACTAGCCGCACAGCCAGCCCAGACCCTCGCGTGTCATGTGGCATGGATGGTCCCAGGGCTCTGAGCGAGGCCAGGCCTGGGGCGGCGACCACTGCGATCTGCACCGGCACCGGCACCGGCACCGGCCCTGCCTGAGCGCATGTCGCCACATCCTGAGCAGGGCCTCGTCGGGGGCGTGAGCCACCTCCGAGACCCCGCGCACGCGGGCCCCTCTCCCCCTCTGGCTCGTCGGGCTGGGCGCGAAGCTCCGCAGCCCCAGAGCCAAGCTGGTCCCGCTCCTGCCCGCAGCTGCGTGTTGGCCAGGCCGCGGTGGCTATTCTTAGCGCGTCTCAGCGCCCCATATAGGGGCCGGCAGGTGCGGGCGCCTCAGCACCTGTCAGCCCAGATTGAGTTACTCCTTGAGGGCCAGGCCCGGGCAGCTGCAGCGGCTGAAGACGGTGTCTTGTGACTCGGAGCTCAACTTACACCCACGCCCGCCCTTCCCAGCGCTCGCCTGTGCCTGACCCCTCGCTGCCTCCTGCGCACTGAGCCGCAGCCCTGTCCCCCGTCTGCCTGGCGGGCCCGGGGGCCCCTGCAGTGTTCCCTCTCCCGGCAGCGTGAGGGGGCAGCTCTGCCCATCCATTTGCTCCACCAACCTCCCCGCAGCAGCCAAGTCGACCCGTGCCCGTGGGAGACCGATCCAGACGTTGCAGCCTGGCTGTTCCCAAACCCCGCACTCCCCTCCTAGTGGGGACAGGGCCCTGACCCCTCCCGCCTGCCCCTGGTCCTGCACAACCCGCCAGGACGGCCTCCCGCCCCCCAAGCCTGCCATGCAGCCGCCCCGGCTCAGGCCCTTGGGGAGCGCAGCTGGAGCCACCGGGGACGCAGCAGCTTCATCCCAGGTACCGCACCGGCGGCCGGCCCGCCGCCACG